AGGAGGCCCCGGGGTCGACTGAGCTTTGAGATTCAGTCCGATAGAGTCCAAGTTGAGTTTCTTGGGCAGGTTCTGGCTGGGGCTTTGAGGGGCGCCGTCACCCTCAGGACTCTTTAAGAAGGTCTCCCTGTCCGTCTGGATGCCCACAGTGCGGCAGGTCTTCAGGGTCGGGTCGTCTGCGGTGCAAACAGCAGCGTCGCGGAGCTCACCGCGCTCCTGACCCGCATTGTACGACCGGTCTCTCTGCATCTTTGCAATGACTCCCTCCAGGTGTGACATGGAGACGGCATGCTCACCTCGCAGCTGGAAGACCTGAAGCTCAAAGTCGGACTGTGAAGAGAAGAAAGGCAGATATGAAACAAATCCAGAGAGACTTCAGTCAGCAGGCAGGTAGCTCGGTATAAATATTCCTCAGAGGTCCACAGGAACTTGATTCTTTGTTGAAACATAACAATTAGTATTATATTAATCTGTTTTAACCTTTTAAAGTTTCTCTAATCTGAGGTTTACATCAAACTCTTACAGTGAAAATCCGGTCGCTCCATTTTTCATTTCAAACAATGAAAAACAACGGAACCAAAGCGAAGTATTGATTTGAGCCAGAAAAGGAAATTGTTTTGCAATAAATCTTACACATGTTCCTGATTAGCTCATGTCAGTTTAGAAATAGAATTAGGCACGTTCCCACCCTTTGTTGTGGGCTCACTGTGGTGCATGTTACTCTGTGTCAGCGTCAGTCCTTTAAAGGTTGACATTAAATTAAAGGCTTTCAGCTGACGGGCTGAGAAACCAGTTCTGAGGTCAGACTTTTCAAGGCAGCGGTCCATAAAGCAATTTATCAGTGGTACAAATTATATAACATGGCCAGAACTACATTCTTTTTCAGTCTTTTTGGGTTTCCAAGTACAAGTTTGGTTCTTGTTTAAGTTGGCAGACGAGAAACACCTGTGGAACAATGCAGCGAACCTTTACTTTTGATAAATGAGAAACTGACACCTATAAGGAGGATTTGGACAGAGCCATCGCGCTGGAGGCAACAGAGATGTCAATCACAGGTCTGTGTGTGTGGTAAGGACCGAAGATTTGGAAGTTTGAATGTAATGTTAAATTCCCGTTGGCAGAACTTTTCAAGGCAAGTGGCGACACCCGTTATTAATAATCAGAGAGAACGTTCAAAAAACATTTGGAGCAGACATACCTGTGCACTAAAAATTAATATCTCTGTGTCAAAATTGAGTCTGAAACACACTCCAACAAAAACCTTTGTTGAAGTCACTTTCATTTTTGATTAAAAGACAACTTTTCAGCATTTATCTTCCAGTGATGATACGGTATCGCTTATGGCATGTAACCAATCAGATGGAGCTGTAGGCGGGACATTGACAACTGATGGAGAAAAGTAGTTGCATTAGAACTAAAGTAATGCATTTTTAATTAAATTAATAAATTTGATCTGGTATTGGTTAGAAAAAACACTAATAATGGGACAAATGCTTAATAACAGATCAGATAAGTGGTTAGGATGATGGTCAGTGAGACCCTTATTTTGATCAACATATTTCAAATAATAGAATAATGAATTTCAGTTTCACTTTTGGTATTAACCTAAATGTTACAGTTAGAGTTACACATTGGGACATTATGCAATTAAAAAAACAACAACATTGTTTTATTAAGGGTTTACTTATTCGGTGCTCTCATTACGGCCTCATAAGTTTATTTATTTATGTATTCTGTGCCTCCACACAGTCTTGTAAGAGTCTAACTAAATATAATACACGATATCTCTCTTTATTAAACATATCCTGCCTGGAAACTTAAAAACCTGTGACGTCTGTGCAGTTCTAGTGCTTGTGGGTAAAAACTGAGAGTTTGCTGCTGCGCCGGAACGTTTCATGATCACTTGGTGCCATCTTGTGGTCATGAAAGTCAACTGACAGGACGGACAGTATTCTCATAAAGCCGTTAATGTAACTGAATTAAGTGTTTATGTCTCACACATATGCACAAATACACACCTAAACTCTGTCTTGCATATATTATATTAATCAAGTTTAATTGCTCCTGTACCTGTCAGTCTGTCTGATCTAAATTTCTCTGATTTCCGGTCATCGTGTGCAACAATCATACGACTACTTACATGCATCCTCTCCAGATCTTCCTTGCACTCTCTCTTGAGCTGCAGCAGGGCAGCCTGGTGCTCTGAAAACAACCACAACAATAACACTTGTATCACAACACAAACTCACTCTGCTGACAGCTTTGAATGATTAAACGCACACTCCAGTACACCCTCACTGCTCATTGTTAATAGTGTTTTTTCTTTTACTATTTTCATACAAAAGGAATTATAGCTGTGTTTTCCCAATGAAATTTTAAACCACAATCAAGCAAATCTGCAACCCCCAGCCACTAAACAAGCTGTGCTGTTGTCTTTTGTGGTAGAATTCTGCAGCAGGGTTGGGTCACTCTCACTACGAGTGGCAGTAGAACCCAACCAACCAGTTTCAAAATACACTGATGGCTAAATGAAAACAAAACAATTCGTCAGGCTGAAAGAAAAATATAAACTGGTTATTTTGCTGGTTCTCATTGAGTCAAGTGGAAACCCGCAACATAATCTAACGTCTATGGTGTTACAGTAATATCTGGGAGCGTATAGAATAATAGAAACACAATGAGTACTAAGAGGTTAACATTGGCAGCTCATAGAATAACGTAATCTGAACATTATGGAAACTCATGCACTGTGTTAGTTTGCTAATTAACTACAAGCAAGCTACAATATCTGGGTATCCATAAACAATCCCCTCAGTTAACGTTTGTCTCTCATCTCTACATGCGTGTTGTTTTTTCTATTTACAATTAAGAGTTACGTCAGGACCACATGAATAAGACTTTATGTAACTGACGACTTTGCGTGTGGAACTGACACACCAACCAAACGAGCCGTTTGATGCACCAAGTTAAATTACACTGCAGTAATGATTAATCCGAGTCAGCGCGCTATAATTTTGCGTCATAAATGGGTGAACGAACTCGCAAATATTTCTGAGATTATGCATGTGATAAGCATGCGCACATGTCTCGATTTATCTATATGGCTCGCAGTCTGGACTTTAGCTCCGCTTCTCAAATTCCACACAGTGCTCTCTTTGACAAGAGCACAGCTGGAACATGGAGCACAGATCGCTGGAATAATCCACATTAGTTAGTCTTAATCTTTTCTCCGGGATGAAGCTTCACCACGGGGAACATTCAGCAGCTGTTGCACTGCTGCCGTATTTGCTTGGATTCACCGTTTCCAGAATCTGAAAGCAAAGCGTCTTACTTTGTAATTTAATCAACCCTGTGTGCTTTTAACCTATTTGTGTGTCATTACACCTTCAGAGACGGGCCAAACGTGGCGTGCTGCCCGGACTACACTTGATTCTATTAAATGTTTTTTACCTCAGGAACACCCACACATGCTACCCCTGTGGTGCCACGAAACAGCAGCCGCAAAAAACAGCATCATTAAGGTGCAGACACAGGCTTACTGTGCTCTTAAACGGATTTAAAGGATGTCTTACACCCTGCTGCTGACACTTAGCTAGCTCTGCATGATTTGTCTCAGACATTTAGAGGAAAGTGTGAGCACTCAAGGGTAATGTTGGCACTGCGCTTCGTTGTTTTGACGCTGGGACTCACCCAAGACCATTTCCCCATACTGGAGATTGTATCTCTACTGGCTCCTGTCCACAAGGCCAATCGGAGCGAGGTGTGTCAGCTTAACTGGCCTGATCCTGCGTCAGCATTCCTGGTCTTAGATGCAAATGCATTCAACAGCATCTAAACCTACGTGCTTGACATTCTTACCTGCCTCTGTGTACTTGAGCCCCACCTTCTCTTCCTCATCCTTAGGCTTGGGTGGGGGCCACACCGCCTGCAGACGCCCTGGAGTCCGGTCCTCGCTGTCTGTGGGCGACGTGACCTCCGTCTGTTGGGGGAGAAAGCACATGCAGCATCACTAGTTTATTTCATGTCTCTGCAAATCCCACTAAAATAGCTCTTGTAGCTTTATTGTTGCGATTACAAACCCGACCTCTGTAGGACTTTTCAGTTCCTTGCTAGGAGATTTGGAGGTTCTGTCAAAAATAGATTTCAGATTTTCTTTGTCATTCTTGATTTTCCTTTTCACTGCATCCAGATCAAAATCTTCCATCTTATCTGTTTTTACAGTCCTGGGGCCAAAAATGTTCTTGAAGGTTTCGTAGGCCAGGTCTGAGGTTTTCTTCTTTTCAGACGTTGAAGCGTCTTGTTCAGGACTTTTCTCTCCTGCAACCTCTTCTTTACTTTCAGACTCATTGTTACTGCATATAGGATCGGCCTCTTGTCCATCTTCTGACTTTTTAGCATCATCATCATTATTGTCTAGGTTGAGCAGGTGGCTGAGCTGCCCCATCACGTTGCTTTTGGTTTCGGAAATCGATTTACGCTCGGCGTGTTTTTTGACGGGAGAGGGCGGCTTCTGCTCGGTAAAGATCTTGGCTTTATTTACAGTTTTCTTGAGGCTGAGCAGAGCCAGATCAGCATCCTTCTCCCTCTGCTTGATTTCTGACACCACCTCCCTTTCTTCCCCCACCGCTCCTTTCTTCAACACCCGCAAACCGCTGAAGAGAGCCGGCATGCTGAAGGAAGGGGGCGAAGACAGCGCTGTGCTCTTGGTGGGGCTTGAAGTGGAGGAGGTGGCGACGGATGAAGCTGGTGGTGTTTTAGTTTTTTCTGGCGTGTGTTGCGAGGCTGGACCGGCACGTGTCGGGCTGTCACCTTTGGATTCTTCAGGTGCAGATGACAGTGTTGTGGGTTTCTCAGACTCTGAAACCTTCCCACCAGCAGTGCCCGATTGCTCCTCTGAACTGGAGGATGATTGGACTGACACTTCAGGGGTGTCAGAGCCGGAGGGAACAGAAGAGGACTTCTGGCTGGTGTGAGACTCCTCAGAGTCCTCTTTAGCTTTAGCACTTTGCTCACATGTCTCCTCCTTCTGTGCATTGTCCGTCTGCTTTAATGGAGAGGCCACATCATCAGAAGCACCCTCCGAAGCCAGATGCCCAGAGACGACGACGGGATCAGGCTGAGAACAGTCGATGCTAGCATACTCGTTGCTCTCATCTGTTCCCACATCACACATGCTCTTCTCTCCAGCAGACTCTGTGGTGGTGCTCTGTTTGGGGCTGCCGCCATCTCCCTGTTTGGTAACTGAAGAGACCCGATCTGTCCCAGAAGTAGTTTTACTGCGAAGCTTATCAGAAAATAAAATAGCTTCTAAGCGGGATCTCTCTCTGAGATTGTGCGTTCTAAACACAGGCACTTTGTAGTCTGCCTCACTGGAAACTTTAGGCTCATCTCCATCCCCACGGTCCACCGTGTTATCGTCCTCCCTCGATAGAGAAGACTTCTTAGTCCTGGCAAGTCTCTCCAACAGACTAGTGCTGCTGCGGGCCGCCTTCTCATCCTCAGTTTCATCCTCATTGTCGCTATACGTTTCCACTCTCGTGACCTGGACCAGATCGGGGTCCACCGAGGCTCCTGCGTTAACTTGCTCACCAGCATCCTTGACTGATGATTCAGAACTTTCCACTGTATCACAGGAAGCAGTCACATCATCCTGAAGCATATCCTCCTCCCTTTGGAGCTTGTTCTCATCGTTAATAGCTTGACTACCTTCATCTTCCGGAGCGTCTCCATCCGACAGCTCCCTGAAGGACGTCAGCACGGCTGAGTCTGAAGCAGCAGAGCGTCCCCCTGTGAATAAACTGTTGAGGACATAGCGGAGACCACTGCTGGGCTGCCTTCCAAGTTCATTGGAGTTTTTACCTGCACTGTCCATTGTTGCTCAAAGTGTCACTCCAACTGAGAGCATCAAACCTCCAGCAAAGGGTCCATTGAAAACGTCACAAAAGGTTCATCTGCCCACCTCCTGTTATCCACGCTGCTCCTATTCCACCTCTCTGCTGGGAACAAAAGGCTTTTGTATGGACAAATCTCCCCAGCTCCTCTTACCTTCTCCTGGAAGGAGCCAAATATAACAAAACTATTCTGTAATCCTGTTTAGTCACGCACATGTTGCATGTAGCGCACTTTTATAACATCACAAAAAGACCACTGACTGTGTGTTATCAGTGGTAGAGTTCAGTCTCCTCTCTGTGAGCAACGTTCCCATGACACTGCCAGTGAAGTCAAGCTGTCCAGCGGCTGAAAGCATGTCCTGCTGTAATCTCCCTGGGATAGCAGGAGAACAGAGTTCACCTGCCTTTCACAAAAGCATTTCCACCGTTCTGACAAGTTGAACGATGTTATCCACAAAGCTGGAGGTTACAGTTTGTCTGGAATCCACGACCAAACGGTGTTTCTAGTCTGCCTTCTTTAGCGAGTCTTAGTTTACAGGAGAACCCTGTGTGCTGCTGGGTTAGAAAAACCCCTCAGGTTGAAACCAAATAGTTTCACTGGTCTACCCAGTCTGAGGACGCCTCCTCGCAGGTCCCTCCCTTCCTGGGAGGAGACCTGCAGAGCCGAGCAGCACAGGTGTCTGATTACCTCCGCTCACTTCCGTAAAACGGCCATGGAGGTAAAAAAGCAAACAGAGAGGGGGAGTCAGTCTGAGGTCAGGTAGAGAGCCGCGGAGGTCCAGTAAAGCAGCATTACACCATTAAGCGGTGAGTTACTGCAACACGGGGCTTAAGATGATTAGTCAGGGCGGCCGTAGCCAGCTCTGGCTGCTAACACGCTAGCATGTGTGATTAGCAGCTTGTGAACACACTGAACAGCACTGAATACAAATAAATGACGTTTTGATTCACTTACCTTAATCATGAACTCCAACGTACTTTACATACTGAGCACTGACAAATTACATCCAAAAAAAGAAGCTAAAAAAAAAACTGTCTATGTGGAAAGGTGAGCATTATTTATGAGACAATAAAAAAGCAGAGATAACCAACTTCTGTGGGGTATTAACTATCTATTTCTTTTATAGCTCACCCCTAATTAGCCCTGCTCTGTGGTCTTTGATGGTGTTTTCGATAAAAGTCAGTGAAGAGTTAGTGAGGGAAGCCTTCACAGTGCGGTTGCCCCTGGCAACCAAAGGTCACCCTTGTTGAATGCATTCCTTCAGACTGCCTGATTGAGCACGGTGTGAGCTGGACCTACTACAGGCTACGCTGGGCTTTAAATCAGCCTTTGGAAATGTTTTTCAGCCACTTTTATAACAACATGAAACAAAGCAATGCAAATGGAAAGTGATAGAACAGATTAATGCAACAAAAACGACGGTTTCAATCACGGAAATATAGAATAGAACATACTTTATGTATGCCAGACCTGGGAAATTATTGTAAACAGCAGCATCCAAAAACATAGAAAGTAATAACAATAATTAAGTAATAAGCATCCCCGGTGTCCGTACACAGCAGGTCAAAGGCCCCACTGTCTCCGGTTGGCCAGTCCACATGCTGGCTGAAGGTGGGGACAGTGGTAGAGAGCGATCTATGATTAAAGTCTGAGATGACAATCAGAGACTGAGGGTTTGATGTTTGCAGCTGGGACACTGAACTATGGATGAGTTCACAGGCTGCATCAGCCGAGGGGGAAGATGTAACTGAAATCGCCAGGACGTGTGAAAACTCCCTCAGCAGGTGAAACGGCCGCAAACCAGCCGCCAACAGTTCAGCATCCTTCGTGCAGCGCCGCTCTTTAACGCTAACGTGCCGAGCATTACACCATCCCTCATTCACATACATGGTGTTACTGTTGTAAATAAAGACGAAATTTTGATGAATCTCTCCATTTTCCATTGTTAATTCTCTGATTTTAGCTTCTTAAATTCAAGTATTTTCTGATTTCTTTCCTTTCTATGACAAACTCATATACCATTTGGACAAAACAAGACATTTGAGGACATCATCTCAGGCTTGTGGGAAAACTGAGCAACATTTTTTGACACTGCATGGATCAAACAACTAATTAATTATTAAAAAAAAAAAGATCAGACTAATTAATAAGCAATAAAAATAATCATTAAACGCAGCTGGAGTTGGAAACCAAAGTACCAAACAAGTAATTCTTTTTCACAGTTATGATTTAATATTAGAAATGTGAGTCAGGAAGTACAACTTTTAATTGCATTTTCCAATTAAATATTAAAGGGAGCTACTGTGGCTGACAAATTAAGTTTTGGAAGAGCAGCACAATTTTACACACAGGCCTGGCTGCGAAGTGAACTCCTACATGACACACCAGTTCAGTCGGCACGTTGTTCAGTTGATGTTAACGCTACAGATCTTAAAAAAGGTCACAGGTCCAGCCCATATACTTGGGTGGTGTCATCACTTCCCTCCCTTTGTGTATTCGGCTGATACAAAGCGGAGATTACATCAACTGAGGTGTGTTTTCCTAATAACATGAAACTAGATGCTAATGATGATGAGGGTGAAGCTGTGCCACAGCCAAGTATGTGAGATCACTTTCATAACAAAACAGAGTGCCTAATTCTGAGCAGCACGTCTTTTGTTCTGGTACTTTAACTCATTATGCTCCTCGTCAGGGCAGTGGTGGTGTCTTAGGAAAACAATGCATGGCTTGTGCTGATACGCTACCCGCCTAAAACCTCACCCAGACAATCTGCCTCATCTGTCAGGAATGAACGCTCGTCAGACTGCATGACGAAGTCTAGACAGACAAGACGGTAATAGTTTTCTTCTTGTCATCTCAGATCATACAGAAGCACATGTCTTTAACTTTACGACTTATTGTTAAAGTAGGACCAGGAAGCAGTGCATTGTTTCCTGCTGGCTTTCTGTAGAAGACATATTTAACAGTAGCACTACAGACATGCTCTGTGAAATACCTTGTGGTGCAACTTTTGTCAATAGCAATTGGGAAATCACAGTAGTTACTCCAAAACACATGCCAAGTAAGGTTTGGGGAGTTGTTGACATATGTTCAGGAAGGGTTGAAAGAGGAGTTTTTTTGCTTGTTTTTTTAATAAGAGAGGTTTGAGTGGAATGATCTCAGTCAGTTCTGGCTTAGGACCCGAGTCCATGACCTGTTAATCCACTTCTAAGAATTCACGATCAGGTGGTTGAATGCCCAAGTGGAGAGAAATCCCCATGAGTCCCACGAGGGGGGGAAAAAAAAACCTCATGGTGCATTGCTGTGTGTGTGTGTGAAAAACATGCTTTACAGCTAACACTGTGTGAGGGTCCTCACCGTGCACTCCAGCTTAGGGTAGTAGGGTGTATCCCCGATGATGTCATCCTCAGGCGGCGTGATGCGCAGGAAGTCCAGGTGATCGGGGCGGGGGACGCGTGGGAGCGGCTCCTGAGGGTCATCCAGCATCCAAATATCATCCTGACGCAAGAGGGAATCATCTACAAACAAGCACAAGGCCACAGGGCGATTAGTGTTGTGTTAATCGTGGCATGAGGTAATTACAAAAAAAAAAACACCAAACATAACACCATAACAGGTGTGAGCGTGTGTGGCATGGCTAAATGAGCAGGCGAGTTGTTTTTCTTTAGTGTCACCTGCATAATGAAACAATAGTGGAACGAGGTAGAAAGCACGCATCAGAATCATTTAGCATCAAACAGGCAGACCCCCGGTTAGCTGCAGGCCCGAGGGCTCACGGCTATTTTTATCTGCACTTAGCCGGCCCTCTTCCTGTCGTCAACACCGCCAGAAAGCCACGCTGATCCAATAAGGAAAAATGAATGCACAACACTGGTTTCAAAAACCAGCACTGCTTGCTCTCTGTTGATATTGTGTTTATGCAGCTTTGCCAGATCTGACACAGCATTGCTCAGCACCACCATCACAGGTGTGTTTGTGTGATTAGTCAGTGTGTTTAGTCATCCTCAGGCCCTGATGGAGAGGAAATACACACTGGGAGAGACTGCCCTCTCCTGACCGTGCAGCACGATGAATGAGCTGTAATTGTGAAGACTGCTTGGGAAAACAAAGCTGAAGCTACCCTTTAAAATTTCAGCAGCCCCACTGTGCTATTTTTTGCTGCAGTAAGCTGCAAAGGTTGGATTCACTCTGTGCATTTTTAAGAGCAGCTGGCCTTTAATATTTACTGCTCAGAGACACACTGCAGGCACAGCATCAGCCTGCAGAAATCTGAATAAAACACATGGCATTGACTACTACAGGAACCACGTGAAATGCAATTACACGTATTTCACAGACGTACGCAACCGCGATACGTCATGCAAAGATGCTTGCATTTAATGTCTCAAGAGAATCGGTCATGCAAACGAAAAGGGTGGAAAAGTTCATAGAGATATGGGGCAGAGACCCAGAGGGAGAATGAGAATAAAAAGGAAGGAGAAAAGAACACACTGCAGGGGGAGGGTGCATATCTCAGTGACCTCAATTTCCTCAAGCTGTAAGACAACACCTTGACCTGTTAGTGCAGAACTATGAGGTGGAAACTGAGAAACACACATCAGCTCCTGTTCGATAAGATGCTAAAATATCCCATAACATTAGTATGTAACGAGGATCCTTGAAGGACACATGGTATTACTGGACCTCTTGGAAGTCCCCTTGAATAGATCCTCTTGAGTCGTGTGTCTCAGCCAAATGCTTTAAATTCAGTTATGAGAGCCCACACACACACACACACCTCATTGAAAAATGGAAGCATAGAAATTCAGCCCCAGTATTCTACCACAATCAGTCACTATGAGACAGCAGCGATGCCTGCAGTCCCTCCACTTATCTGGGACTCTGGCAGCTGGAAAAAAGTAGGATTAGATTAATAACTTTTCATTATGATAATGCTGCGCTGCATGGTCCCGCAGTGGGAACTGCTGACTGTAGGCTGGGCTGGTTCCAAATGCAGACTTAAGCCCAGTCCTGGCCAAAGAAAGAAACTACTGATCAGAAACAGCTCCCTCCACAATTCCTGCTTCTAGTAAAAGGATTATGCACATCGTACTATCCACCTGCTACAAACGCCTTTTCATATATGGTCGCTGTGTTCCTTCATGCCTTCAAAATTCCTATTTACAGAAGAAAAATCCTGAGTGTTTGCTTGTGCACGTGTTTCACCTGGTTGGCTGCCAACCACTTTCTTAAATTAAATATTTATGAAGTGGCCCACACTGCCACCATCTGGACAGGGAGAGGGATAGACGCGGCTGTGGTCGAACACACTGCAGTAAGGCTCTAATGTCCCTGCTAGGAATAAGACGGAGCGAAGGAATGTGCAAAGCTGCAATGCAATATCTGTAAATAGACGAAGAAGCAACTTTTAGATGCATTAGGTAATGAAGGCAGTGCATTTGATTATTATTGTCCGTTGATTTATCACTCTCTAACCCACACACACACACACACAGTGAGCTTAAGTTTATTTGCCCCGGGGAGAACTGACCGCTTATTGCTGTTTAATCTCCCTCCCTTCTGCTCTGAAAGCCAAAAATGAACGTCCATAACTGAGTGAACATAGGGTTCTGTGACTGTGTTTGCCTGCTGGCTGGCGCATTTGAAGTAATGCACAGCTAACTGGATCACCCCAAGACAAGGCAACATCAGTCCACACACACACAGCACGCTGTCCTTAAGCAAAGCCAGTGCCCTTAAATAGACTTCTGTCTTTCAAACATCCACAGTAAACACAGGTGTTTCCAAAGAGCAAACCTGCAGGTGTTGACTGACAGTGCAAGCAATCTGACAAAGAAAATCACAGAGTGTGAGTGAGCAGCTGCCAGGCAGACAGGATGGGTGTTTCTGTGGTAGCGTAAGTATTTTCTTTTTAACAATACACCTGTCTGTGTTTGGCGAGCCTCGGAGGCCACTAATGTCTGAACCTGACAGATGTGTGTCAGCGATGACGGATTCATCTGCCACTCACTCCAGCAGCGGTCAGAAAAAAAGCTTTGTGGAGGGCTGTATCGAGCACTCTAAAACCGCTAAAAGCAAAGTTTAAAAACCCTATCCAGGCCCTTAAAAGGCACAGTCTGTCCTGTTTAGTTTGCAAGGAGCAATTAGTGATTCTGTGGGCGAGGCAAGGCAGAAATATGATTCATTAATTATATATCTGTATAAATACAGAGCTTTCGCAAATTCACACCGCTCCGTCTCCTCCCACATTCACTCTTATTAAAGACACTCAAACAGCCTTGCTCAGTGTGCCCTATTTCAACCAGTAAAATCTATAACCTCATCATTCAAAGTAAAAGAACTGGGCCATGTGGCATGCTGAGTACATCTGGCAACCTCCATCCCTCTCCATCACTTGTGGCAAAGAAGGAGAGTCATAGACGTTTGTATAAATCATGAAAAATGCACGATTTATAAATCACCCAGCTTCTCTTCCGCCTGTCATGGCCACTTTTTTTTTCCTCTACGCGGGCTTGTTGGCCGTGCGTGACTGTCCGGTCGGTTGATTGACGGACTGGTTTTGCTGTCGTTGCTGAGGTCCATGTAGTGGGAGTTTCAAATGGAAACTCAGGGAAGACTTGCATTGGAGCCCTGCCTGAGAACCAGAACAGTAATGTAGCATGACATGATGCTCGCAGAGATGTCATTTGAAATGCAGTTTCAAGGGGGCTAATGGGATAAACAGAGCCGAGGTAAAGGGTAGAGCGCTTTAATTGCGCCTGGCAGGCCACCAACTGGGGGAACAGAGAATTTTGGTCAACTTCCACCGAAGGGCGTCGCTTTGAAGACATTTAAAGTTAGTCATGCTAAAAAGTTACAAAAGCATGACATGGAACATAGCTGGGATTTGCCAAGGTGTTGGTGTTGCAAAGTCATTTATTAAAGAAAACAGGTTATACGTTATAAGAGCAGGACCTTTGTGCCCTGTTTTCCTGTATGCAGTCTGCAGCTCCGAGTAATAGTGTGAGACAGAGAAGCTCTCTGGCTGTTATGGCAGAATAGACTTCATTATCTGAATAGAGTTGGCCCTTGTCCTTGCTGGGCGCAACAATGCTGCATGGCAGTGCACTTTGTGTTGAATGACAGCTAGCAGGGGGAGCGGGGTGATACACTCTTGCTCTGCACTGATCAGTTTCATATGACCTTGCAAGAACATATTGGGTAATCTGATTATAGTATTGGCTGCCATATGTCAGACAATAAGCAGGGAATTGAGGAAGGGAGGGGTAAAGACAGAGAGTGTGCGGCTAATACTAATGCCCGATTGGCCTGATAGCTGCGATTCTTTAAAAAGCAGCTACAATAAATACGGTCATCCTTTCACACATCCTCATGGATCAAATTAGGAAACAAATGCGAAAGACGTCACTTGCAGGGACAAACCCACTCACTTCCACTCAGCTCTGTGAAGGTTTAAAATATCTCACATTGTTAAAAGAGTTTTTTTGATGTTTACACTACAATCTGTTGGGATGTGAAGATGTTTACTTCTGTCGTTCCTCAAGTCTCTCCACAACAAACAGAATCCCAGCTTTAAAAGGCAGAAAGAATTTTTCTGAGCTGTTACGTACCAGCTAACGAATCAACAGTCATCTTGCTCAAACTTTGCATCATCTTGCCCGCTGCTTCGTGGATTTACTGTCTGGAGATGCTTCTGCTATTTCTAAAATGTCTCAGCCGTGAGCAAACCACACAGATGTCCTGCTGTTGGCTGTAAGAGTGAACACAAGAGTCTTCATGCATTCCCAGCATCTGAGCAACTGAAGAGCGGGATGATTACTTTTAAAATCGATGGCACTGTCACCATAACAACTGAAAAGTGTGAGCGTGTTGTGCAGCCAATGTAATGTGACATTCAGAGATGGTGGAAGCTTTAAAACTGATTTGAATCCAATACACACAGACCGGGTGTGTTACTGTGTTTTCCTGTCCTCTGCTGTGCTTCACTGCTATCTACGCTTGATCATTGTTTACATCGGTTTGCTTCTCCCCTGCGCTCTGTAGTCACGTAAACTGTATTTTAATGCAGCTGAGTTCCCAATAAAGCCATTCTTATGTAGATGTGTTTTAGGTTCTGTTATCAGACAACCAGTATGAAACTGTGACTGAAATGAAGCCCACAGAGGCTACATGTTCACCGGGTGTCACTTCATAGCTACTCTGTGCTAAACACCAATAGAGAAATCAGTTTTCTAATCTCTGTTCTATCAGCTGCAGTACCAGCAGTGTAAACCAGACCTGGCTGCAAATCAGGACCAAGCATAAAAACATATTTCCTGCATTACCAAATGAATGCATGTAGGTTTCCGTGGCAATGCAATGCATACAACTTGCACTCCTGTAAGTGCATAACTTTGTTTAATGTTTTTTCTGATGCACCACGTTTGCAAATAAGGCATCAGCTGAGAACCTCTACTGCTCATTGCAAATCGTCAGGACATTAACTGGTAACAGGGAGACGCTTCTTAGAGCTGATTCAAATCCCAAACTTTGAACAGAACCTCCTTCAAAGCAGGTTAGCTCCGCAGCATCAGTTACCATGGTGATCCAGCAGGTTACAGGAGAGCCAAAACAAACAACGCTAACCCAATAATCTGGCTCTCATCTCGCATACTAATTCACATTTGTGTCGGATGAATTGCGATGAATTGTTTTGGTACGCGCTGTCAATAATAGACACAGATCAGACAGAGTCTTCTACGGTCATGGTGAAAGAATCATCTTTGCTTTACTTTGAACTGAAAAATTGACAGGCATGTTCTGGGGACACGCAAGATTAATTTGCTGAAAATGGGTACAATATGGGACCTTTAAAGCATCTTTCAGCTCATTGTTTTAGTTTTCTCTCCAGCAGACTTTGCTGTTTTGGCTCAGTTTCACAACGCTCATCCTCATTCTTGGCTTGATGTAGTTAAGAAGCTCTAAGATCCTGAAGGCAGCACATTACAAGCTCAGCATCGAGCGGCAGACAGACAAAGTTAGCAGGTAGCTGGTGAACATCAGCAGAGCCTTATGAACTGGTTTCAGGTTCTTGTGCAGCTTTAAAATGGTGTTCGGAACGACTGCCCTCCTTAGAACAGCTGATGAGTTTGCAAATGCAATGTAAAGAGAGGCTAACAAACATTGCACGGTGTTGCGTAAACACACATAAAACAACTCCATACACACCCTTAGTAAACGCATGAAGCTTCCATTATGTGGAATCCAGTGGAACAGCATTAGCACATGAAGTAAACAGAGAATTTGTTACTTGAAAATTAGCATTACAGTCTGCATGATCACGCTCATTAACAAGCACTGAGCTTCAATAAAAGAGCCCAGATTAAAGAGCTCGGATCATAATCAGTTCAAACCATGAGGTGCCGGGCTTCACACTGACCCACTTAGCCCCTTTTGGCTGGACCCTGTGATGTTCATTTATCTGCGTTACCATCTGAAGCGTATTCAATTATCAAGCAACACAAGAGCGATTCAGTACACCACTAAGAAGCAGCAAAAAATCGACAGAGGGAATTTGTTTAAGATTAAAGAGTTTAAGCCTTCACTCTGCTCTGGGGATTGTGCAGCATGTAGCATGTGGACAGTGTGACGCAACAATGAAAATGAATCGTGTTCTTTCAGAGTTTCAACAGTATCAACCAAGGTATTTGAAATGTCATGCTCCAGGAGTAAACAATGGTTTTTATTTAAAACAACACAAAAAAGGAGGAGCCTAATGTCATATTTTGTGGATTATGTGTGTGCCGATTGTCGCATCTGTGCAATTCATGCTTAGGTGAGGGCACAGTGTCATTTCAGTGGGAATTGATGTAAATCATTTCCACGAGAGTAAACCTGGGCTGTTTGTCTCCCTATTCACCAGTTAACTCCACACAGCTCAGCTCCATTCTCTCCTCGGCAGTTGAGCATTGTTAGCCACGATGGTCGGGCTACTGCGTGTTAGTCTATTACATAACAACTCTAATACTCTAGATATATAAAAAAAAAAACACCCGCAAACTATTAGTAAATTACATAATCAATTGAAGGCCATCTGTTTGCTGCTGCAGATTAAAGCTGTGATTGTGAATGGGATGATTAACCGCGTTACAGAGATAGCTAATGCAATAATAATAAGGTCTCAGTCGAAGCAGTGTCAGCTTGGCTTGTGTAGCTTGGAGGGATTCCAGTAAAAGGTGTATAAGCTTTAAACTAACACAGGAACTGCTTCTAATAATCTAATAGCAGGAGATCACAGAGTGACATGACCAAATGCGCTTAATGCAAGCGAGGAGAAACAAATAAATAGCTTGAAAAGTCACACTGACGTCAGGCTTTAAACATTATTGTGGCTTTGCAAGGATTCTATACAAAATGCCGAGTGTTGAAATCCATTTAGCGCGTCTGTCAGATTTACATACAGCGGATCAGATTATCAAAAGAGGAAAATAGTTCTGCAAATAAAGAAATTCTAATCCTTATTTCTGTGGCCCTTGTGCCCGCTGGGTCCCTGATCCTTTGTCAGCTTCCTGTGAAATGGGTACAAAGTGGGTTTTAGGGGAGGAGATCCCTGAAAGTTCGAATTGGCAATGCTTCAGTTACCACTGTGCTCACGAGAACTCTGGTCAGGTCTGTGTCAGCTGTAAGCCTTTGATCTGGGACTCACACTAATCTCTGCCTTCCCCGCGGCGCTGAGAGAGTTAAAATGGATCATCAGCGAAAGTATTCTCAGGCCCTGCTTGCCCCTTGTCCTGCTCTGTTGGGGAGTTTTTAATTTGTGGTCAAAATTCCCCAACCGGAACACCACAGTCAAAGGCCTAAGAGAGAGATTTTGGGAAAACAATGCCCAGTTATTGGACTGACTGGTTTATTAGATAACAGCTGGAGTGACAAGCAAAATTTCCTGTGCGGAAAATGTCTGTCGGTTTACAAAAGCTCCTCAGTAATTGCTGAGGCGCTTCAACAAAAACTTCAGGCGCTGGGTCTGACACACTTGCATCTCTTTCAAGACATCTTTTTCCTCGTTCTGCTCTTTGAAATCTACATCAGCAATGCCAAATGAAGGGCACGCTCTGACAAACGTTTCCTGCTGCTTTGATGATAAAAGCCCGGTTGTCATCATTTACATCAAGGCAGAGAGTCTGAACATGAAGCAGTGAGCTCTCAAAGTGCGATTTCTAAAAAACTCACCTGTTGTTGTGGAGTTACTCGAGGAGTTCCACTTGGAGGTGCTCGGCCGCCTGCTGAGGTTCAGATCCAGACGCGTGATGGTCCGCTTGTTGCCGTTCTTGTCGATGACCTCCGTGAAGAGTTTGGGTTCGTCTGTGTTACTGGAGCTGTCTTGATCGGGGTCCACGTCCTTATCTGAGAGCAGGACAATGCGGTGGTTGAGTTGTGGGCTTGCCTGCTTGGAGGACAGGGGGGACAGGACTGGGGACATGCTCTGGAGGCTGTTCGAGGCAGGGAAGGAGTTGTTGAAGACCCCAGCGAGGGAAGGTGAAGAGGGGCTCTTTGCGTGGGATCTGGCTGGGGGTGAGGGTTCATTGGTGTGGGATAGGGGCAGCCGTAGCCCCACAGGGAGTTTGTTACATGTTTTATCCTTATTGACTACCAGCAGGTGGTCTCTGTTTGACCCTCCCCACTCCTGCTGGCATTTGCTAGTCCCTGGATGTGGCACAGCTGACCCAGGCCTGTCTGGACTCGTGTGGCTCACATGTTGCTTTCTCCCTTCCACATCCTGCACTTTGGCCACAACCCTGACCTCCGTGTTCCTCTGGTTGTTTTCGGCGTAAAGCGGCGGAGTGGGCTTGACTTGACTTGGTGCATTCTCAACTATCATCTCAACCGGAGAATCAAACCTTTTGATCGGTCGAAGGTTGCTGCCGCTTTCTCGTCGGGTCAGACCCTCCATCAAGCTGCAAGAAGACGACTCGTAGCCCAGCTCACCGTCACACTCGGAGAAGTCATTGCAGAAATCCATGTCGGGGTCAAACGTGCGGTTGTCCTCCATGAAGTCCCAACCTTCATGAGCGGTCTGGAAAGGTTCCTCCATGGGCAGGATGGGATTACTGGTCGCGCTGACATAGGAGCCGGTTACTGGGGTGTCACACACATGGACAGAGGCTTTGGTTCGTGGGATCTTCTCCACTTCTGAAGCTGCACTTGTGGACGTGTTCTTCTCCGTTAGAGTCTCCGCAAATAAACTTCCACTTCTAACTTTCCTTATCATTTTACTGTACAGAAAATCTTCAGCGCTGTCGAGCTTCTTGCCTCCCAGCTTCTTCTGCTTTTTGCTCTTGGATGCGCCTTTCTTCTGCTCTGGAGGCACGGTGCTGCTGGGAACCTGACCTCCAGGTTGAACTTCCTGGCCCTCCGCGTTACCCTGGAGTTTCCCATCCTGGTTACCCATCCTGACTTTGTTGGCGCAATCCCTGCACAGCGATAACAGATCCGCCAGCAACTGGTGGTGCTCAGCCGCCAGCCAGCAGAGCTCTGCAACTGCTTCCTTTGTTGCCTGCCGGGAACTGCTGAGTTCGCCCGAAGAGCTGGAAGACTGGCCTCTTTGTTCGGACACGGCGAGATCCTCCTTACCCCGGTCATGGTCATTACCGGCCCTTTCCGAATGAGGGGCGCGGCTCTTGTACTTGAAGCTCCGGGCCCGCCTCTTGGGGAAGTAGAGGCAGATGTTGCTACGCTCGCGGATGGGTGCGTACAGTAGCAAGACGGTGTGAGTGCCCTCCATGATGGGTGCCATGTTAATCACTGGAGCAGAGTGAGTGGTCAGCCTGCAGACAGAGAGACTGAGCTGCAGAGGAGGAATCTCTGGCTATTCATCACCTGGCCTGTCCCGATGCTGTCAAAGAGAGAGTAACACAGTGATAAATCAGACTTTGGATGCACAGGAAACATCCAATTAACATGTTAGTCCTACAAGAGACATTTCTTGCCTTCCATTGCAAGACTTTTTTGTATTCTTCAAGCTTTAAGCAACACTGCCAGGATGCAAAACCTATCCTCTCACAACACTGGGCCCTCCTTATCTCCTTGTCAAATTGTGCTACATGAAAACTAGACAAAACTAAACAATGCACACATGAATCCAGATTCCTTACCCAGCTATCTTCCCTACCCTGCCTTATCTCCATCCTCTCCTCCAGCATCGTTGTAGATAAACCACTTCCAAACCGCATTTCATCAACATTTCACAAGCTGCTGCAGAAAAAGCTGCCAGTGTCACACAAGGTGACGCCACATGCAGAGAGCCCCATCCACGCCAGGCTGCCACCAAACATGCTTACAAGCCAAACAGACGCACAATTCAACTCGCGCTGCACATGTCAAGCTCAACATCTCTCAGCTGTTTATATCATAACATAATCCCGTGGGTTGCTGTCACCTTGCAACAGCCACGAGTGCATTTGTCAGTGTTAAGATGGCAGCATAATTACACTCTACCCTGCAGGCTTTTCTTTTCCTTTCTTTTCTTTTTTGGACCACTGCTACCCATTACATCAACAATGCACAAACAATTCCCTAAATTTGTTAGAATTATAAAACATCACATATAAAAACTGCGAATCTTCCTCATGTGAGCTTCACTTTGATTTGCTTTATTCCTAATTAGAGGTTAAAGCAGTTGCACCTGCAGCAGGTAAAAACAAAGCAGCAGTTGGTAGAAGATAAACAGTTACTTACCCGATTTGGTGGCATGGCAAATATTTCCTCACATCTCTGTACTGCAGCCAGCCACTGCTCACCGCTGCTCCTCTGGGCTCGTCCGCGGTGACGGACGGGAGAGTTATCCAATCGGAGAGCGCACCGCCGGCGTCCTGCTCTCTGATTGGTGCGTCGCTAGTTCTCGTCAGCCCACATTTTGAGCCAGTGCAGCTGCAGCTTGCAGGTAGGACATGTGAGAGGTACCAGGCTGCGCGTCGGACACGGAGGAAGGAAACAGGCAAGAAGGAAACTTAAATGCACCTCAGTTATATTAACAAGCGCTGCAGCTTCTTATATGAATCACAGCACCTGTACAGAAAGATAAGAGTGTGTAAAAGCACCGTAGATGCTCTTTGAAGGCCCGAGTCGACGCCATTTCTTAAAAAACAGAGACACCTAGTGGCTAATGTGTGTATCCGCTGCTGTAATATCATTCTAACAGTGTTCACTAATTTCCAAAATATCACAAAAATCAGATATATTTAGAATTAATTTTGTCCCAAGAATTTCAGAATATTTTTTATTCAGTTAGGTTGTATTTTAGTGACTTATAAATCTCCAAATCATGACTAAATAGAAAAGACAACCAAAAAAATGTAAATATGTATGTTTTATTCAACAGATAAAGAACGATATATTGATGTATAAATACAAGGGATGTTAATGAATATCAGTTAATTGATAAATTGCTGTAAAATATTCATTAATTTTTTAATTTCATTTTTAATTTTTAATTTTTTAAAATTTTTGTGTGTGTGTAAAGCGTCTTTTGAGTTTCTTAAAAAGCGCTATGCAAAACATATGTATTATTATTATTATTGTTAGCAGTTGTTGTGGTATATCTGTTGACAGAGCAGCAAAGAAGGACATGCATGTCAGAAACTTAATTGTCCATCAGCTGTAGTACCTGGTTGCTCCTCATAGTGTTTAATAAGGTTGTGACCTGAAACAAAGCACAGCTACACCACAGGGAGTTCTGTGTGTTGGCAAGCAGAGAGCATTGTGGGGCTTTAGCGAGCAACAGGCCACCATGACAGTTCTGTGGCGATTAATGTTGTCCGGCCAGAGTTCACATTCCCAAGACACAGCCGAGTCTGCTGGGACAGCGTTCGTACTGCTGAGTCACCGATGTAACCGAGACATTGTTTGCCACGAAAATGATGCGTTTGTGGTTAAAAAGAAAGCAAAAAACTGTACTTCATTCACTTACAGGATTGATAAATGTTGATTGATGATGCTGCCAACGATCAGTTAGGGAAGCAGTTCAAATTTACATCCCTAAAAAGTACACATGGACTTCAGAGTTATAGAGCCAGACAGTTATTATACATTTTGCCAAGCAGAGACCATAAGTCACCCTGGAGTGGCACAAAAACTTTCATCTGGTTAATTTTTTCTTTTGCATGGCAAGTCGCTGTCGACCAAACAGTCAGTTTTTATTGGTCGCTTTCTTTCATTACGCTCATGCAGGACAGATTACCATGTAGAAGTTCACCAGGAGGACTTGTGTTGAATAAGTTTTTTTTTTTCATTTAAACCTGAAATGATATAAGAAAAAATCAATCTGGTACAGTTGCTCCAAGTTATGCTTGTTTAACTGTTGATATTACCATTAACTTCCGTTAGCCTTAGCATGTAGCTCCAGTTCTGTAAGTATATGTGTGGCTCTGTTCACTACTGGTTGTGTTGGGTGGCCAGACTTTCCTGAAGCTCTGCCCCTGACAGTATATACAAAAATATGGATAGATTGGAGATTTAAATGAAATTTAATTGAAACGTAGACAATGAAATAGGAGGTATATTGAGGTAAATTACAACTTGGTAGCAGAACTGCAGCAGGGGGTCAAAGGTTACAGATGACTCTGGCTTCAGGCCCATATGAAGGGCCCATGCAGAGGTCAGTGTTTAACCCTAATGAACAAATAAGTACAACAAGTGGATGAAGGACCACAGTTTGGAAAGATTTTACCCCACTGTCATTATTCATGGCTTCCCTGCCTGGCAGTAGAGTTTGAGCATTCACGGTGCTCATTGTTTATCTGGCCATTTTGGAAAATATCTTATTGTCCTCAGTCGGATGACAAGATTGAGTCACTTGCTTTCACCTCCTATGTTTAGGTTCAACTTGGTCTACCGTGCTGTAAGGGAAACAGTTGATTTGTTAATAAAATAGTGCAAATAGCAGTGAGACATGATTAAATGGGCTCAGTAAGCAATGCACTATGGTGGCCTGCAGTTCTTGCAAACACTGTTCGGATCATCTGAGTTAG